CGGCCGCTCCGCCCCGCTCCCCGCTCCTCTACCTTCCTTCCTCCCGGTCCTGCTCCCCTCCAATCGGGCCTCCAGCCCGGGCAGGGGCTCTGCCCTCCTCTTCGGTTTCCTTCAGACCCCACCCCCGTTTCTCCTTTCCCGGGGCGGCGGGAGCCGGGAGGGAAGGAGGCGGCGCCGGGCACCGGGAAAGCTCCCGGGCGGAGGGAGGAAGGAGGGTGCAAGGGAAGGCAGGGCGGGGGGGAAGAGGGGGGACCGGGGAGGAGAGGGCGCCTCCCACAACCCGAGCCCCGGGAGCCGCCCCGGATCTCGGCCCCGCCCTGGACCGCCCACAGCGCCGGGGGGGCAGGTGGAGGGCATCCCGGTACTCACACCCCGCACCACGAGGGACCGGCCCGGGAACCTGGTTGAGGCGGGAGAACAGGAGCCTGGAACGGAAGCAGGTGCGGGAGACGGTTGCAGGGAGAGGAGGTAGTCTTGGATGGAGTGGTGAGAGGCGGCAGGCCGAGGCCAGGGCTCGGAGAAGGAGGGAGACTGGTGGGGGAGCAAGGAGAGATCAGGGTCAGGCAGGAGAAGATGGGAGGGAGTGGGGAAACCCGGTAGGCACCTGGGTGGAGAAACAACGAGAGAGCCAGCCGGTAGACCTGAGTGGCCACGGGTCCAGCAGCGCTGCTGCCCGCCTACTCCGTGAAGGGAGCGTCCAGAGAAGGTTGGTAGCCAAAGAGGGGGAAGGGGCAGCAAGAAAATAAATTGAGGCAGGAGTTGGGGGCACAGAGAAATGAAAGCCTCCTAGTTGGCAGGAAACAGTATTTTCTTCTGGATCCCATCAAGGCCTAGTACTCAGTATCTCTTGGCTAAAGGAGCCATGGATCCACATCTCTAGAGACAGAGTGAAGTACGTGTGGTGTGGTGTGTGTGCGCGCGCGCGCGGGCACACACACACACACACACACACACACACACACACACACACACACACACACACACACACACACATGGCTCTTGTTCTCCAAGAGGCATTTGGGCCTAGAGGTGAGACAGAACTAAGGTTCTCCACCTACAACCCCTTTTAAGAACAATTATTTTGTACCGACCCCTTTACCCTCCTGAATGGGAATTCATAGATGATACAACCTGTCCCCACAAATGTAAGAAAAAAAGCTTCCTTATCTGAACGATCGAGGTGGCACTGAAGGAAAGGAATCTGTAGTAAAGTGATATAAACAGCTTTCGAATGTGTGAGTGCTGAAGTCCGACAACAGAGAAAGTTGTAATGAAGTAGACAGATGCTTCCACCTATCCACGGAATCCCAGACAGGAACCGCTCCGCCCGCGGCTCATACAGGTGCTGAGCCGGTGAGTCAACTCCCTCCAGCAGGCTGCCTTCCACAGGATGACTTAATGAAATGTTGAACAAACACTTGGTAGCAAAGTCAGGCTTCCCTACATGTACGCAGAACTGTAATTGCATTCCTAGAAAGTTCAATTGTATATTAAAGCCATTAAAAAAAAACGATTAAATCCTAAGCTCAGATAATTAAGCACGGCTTCACCTACATGAGTGTCCTGGGGGACACTGGAGAGTCTGGAGGAGGGACAATGCATTGCCCGGGCTGTGCTTTGAAGAGTGACTTGCATCCTACCCAGGGATCAGTAGTGTGGCCTCTCCATCACCGCGATTGCAAAACACACATAATGTTCAATAGGCCCCCTTGCGAGCTACTGGCAGAAGGGAGACAGAAGAGGGTAAGGCAGGACTTCTTACATGCAGACAACAACCACCCTCCCTTCGAGTGGTCTATCCTCAGGAGGGCAGAAACCAAGACATGTGGGTATCAACTGAAATAAAATGATGGTGTCTTGGACACCTTTCACCTTGCTCAGAGGAGCCTCGCGCTCTAGTGGTTACACATTGGGCTACAAGGCCCAAGGTCAGCTGTTTGAAACCACCAGCAGCTCTGATGAGAAAGGCTTTCTACTCCTGTAAAGAGTGACAGTGGAGGAAGCTCACGGGCAAGTTCTCTGCCTCGTCTTATAGAGTCACTATGAGTCGGCGTCGCCTCCAGGCCATTGAGTTTGATTTTTTGGTCTTTGTCTTACATGGATCCGCACTCGGTGCTCAAGGAAGCGCAAGTGGCAGTCAAGAGATTAAACAGCTCATTGTATTAGGTGAATCTGCTGCACAAGACCTCTTGAAAGTGTTGAAAAAGCCAAGTTGATATAAGAAATAAGGTGCGCCTGACCCAAGCCATGGTATTTTCAATGGCCTCCTAGGCACGTGAAGGCTGGACATTGAATAAGGAAGTATGGAGAAGACTCGATGCATGTGAACTGTGGTGCTGACAAAGAATATTAAAAGTGCCACGTACTGCTAAAAGGACAAACAGCTCTGTGTCGAAAAAAGCACAACCAGACGGCCCCTTGAAGCAAGGAGCAAGACTTGTCTTACGTACTGAGGACGTCAGGGGAGGCCAATCCCTACAGAAGAACATCCTGTTTGGTAAAGTGGAGGGGAGGAAGACCCTCAACTAGATGGACTAGCTCAGTGGCTACAACAATGAACTCAATCTAAGAGCAATGGCGAGGACGGCGCAGGACCCGGCATGTTTCCTTCTGACGTAATAGGGTTGCTATGGGTCAGAACAGACTAGAAGGCACCTAACCAACAACACCAACAATGGACACTTGGAGCAAGTGCCTCCCCCAAATGGTTTGGGGTGAAGAACATTCTGACTATGGTGCTTCCACGTGCAGTCTCAACGATCATGCTGGTCACGCGTTCTTCCCTAAAACGCTTTAGTATTCCTGCCTGGTGGTCCTGGGACCTCACACCGCTGTGTGCTCAAAGGACTCTTCGCAGAGCCTGACTCAACCCAGTTCTCTTCAAGTTGAGCCCCACTCATAGCAACCCCAGGTGTTACACGGCAGACGTTCCACGTGGTTTCCAAGCAGTTCACTATGGACACTTCTGGGTTCAAACCTCCTAAGAGTCAAGTGCTTAACTGTTTGCACACCCAGGGATCTTTCTTTAAAAAAAAACCAAGCTCACTTCCATCGAGTTGATGCCGACTCATAGTGACCCTATAGGACAGGGCAGAACCATCCCTGGGTTTCTGAAACTAACTCATGACAGGAGTAGATAGTCCCATCTTTTTCTCTCAAAGCAGTGGGTGGTTTTGAACTGCCGACCTTAGACATGACCACCTAACACATCTGAGCAGCTCTCCAGGTCCTAGGCTAGTCTTTCCTTCCAGCCATGTCTCGCTGGCTTCCTGAAATCAGGAATCAGAGGGAATATCCTTGAATGGTGCCTAGGAAAGGAAGGTCTACGATGCTGTGAAACTGACTGGGTTTCATGTGGGGGCCTGAGCGCTTTCCAGCTGAGGTTCAGTGAGTGACCTTGACATGCCCTTCTAGCCATCGTCTCCAGCTTTCATCAAATGTCTAGAGAGGAACATGCAAATTGAGTGTCTAGAAGTCTAACTTGGGGGTTAGTCCAACGTCTCCCTTCACCCACTTTTCTGTGGTGTCTTCATTGACAGACACACTGCCTGAGAAGATGAAGCTCCTGCATGTGGAAACCACCAAGCATTGATAAAGTGCACTACCATGTGCACTCATTATGCAAACACCATTTAAAAAGAGATTAATGACCTCATTGACATGGGAAAATGCCAGTCTGAGTTAAAAAAAAAAGATTCAAAATTTGTACAACTGAGATAAAAAGATAGGTTTCTAAAAAGGAAAGAAAGCTCATCAAAATGTTAACAGTGTTTTCCTTCGGCCATGAATGAATTGGTAACACTTTGTGTCATGTTTATTGTTCGATTTTGTTATAAGTGTTACCTATATAACCACGTTTAAGTTTTTCTTTAGAGTTCCCTAGGCACGTTGGGTCAACATCTGTGATGTACTTGGGCAGAGGCATTTGGGAGCGTGGGCAGGGGCTCTGATCATACTCACTGCACAAGGGTCTCATTTTTTTCCATGAAGGATCACAGCTTCTTCTTTTCACACCTTTACACCCTCCAAAATCACCTTCAGGATTCATCGTCCTTTATTGGCATTTATTGCGTTCCTTGCATCCTTCCCTCTGTCCACACTAAACACAAAACTCCTCTCTGATGGAAAGGTCCCATCTCTCTTCCCTCTCTTTTGGGCCTTTGGTGACATCACCTCCTTTTGCAAGTGTTGGCTGTTTTCCATGGAGACGCTTGATCCCTTTCTCTGACCACTGGAGACACACCCAGTCTTCCAGTTCATTTTATCCCCCGTGCTTCCCATGTCCCAGCGCTTGCGCTCCAACCCTAAGATCCCAGAGCTTAGCACCCAGGAAACCTGAACACATCAATCAACGTAGCTCAATGTATTGAGCATCTGCTATATGCCAAATGGTTTCCAGGGAGTAATTTATTTAATCCTCACACAGCCGTGCAAAGTAGATAGTTGGTGGCTGAGTAAATTGTGGTTCACAGAAAATCACAAGGAAGCCAACAGTCACGCAGAGACAAAATTTGAATGTGC